AAATACGTTGCTTTATTCTATTTTTGTCTTATTTGGATGAATATTCACTACGCAGAAGCTTCTAATGCTCAGTAGGCTAACAAGTCAAGTGTTAGATGGAAGTACAATTTTGCAATACTTATATGTTTATGATATCCGAGTAGATAAAAATAAGGATCAAGTTGTGTTTTTGTTTTGTTTTTTTCTGCTATTCTAGGTATATTCCTCACAGACCTTGTATATATAGATGTTGCACATCCAGAATCCAAAGGACTCGAGAACCATCACCGACACATGAAAATGAATAACATTCTTAGAATAATAGCAGACTTCCAGCAATCCACATATGGTCGGTAACAAATTTTATCATCTTGAGTTTGTTTTCTTGTCGAATATAAAAATTTCTATCATGATTATGGTTTTATTTTGAAGTGTTTGTGTATTTTTAACATGAGTAGCATGCAATCTTGGCATTTGTTTCTTGGATTATTACTAGCAAACTAACTTGTATAAATATAAACCAATCCAGTAATTGCAAATCGTTGATGAATGTTCAACAATTGAATGCATGTTGTTGTTTTTTTATTTGCACTTGTCACTGACTTTTTTTTATTTCAAACTAGTGCCGTTTACTAAAATGTGTCTTTGACAAATGCCTCGTGGTGTATTTGATTGTTATTAACCCTCTTTATTTAAGGATTTTTAGGGCTTACAAGTGACAAATCTCTTACCAGTTCACCCTGTTTCAGGCTTCCTGACATAGTGTTGCTGCTGAATTTAATGCATTTCTGTATTTTTACTTGCTGTTGACTTGCCTTGGTTCAAACAGTGCTGTTTACTAAAACAATATTATCTTTCACTAATGTGTCTTGATATTTCCGATCAATTTTTAGCTCCTTTATTCCAGATAGTATGCTATTGTTAAGGTAACAAGTCTCCTGCTTGTTCATCAAATGTCGATCTTTACACCTTAGTTTTGCTAACTACACATAGACCATCAGAAGTTTTAATAGATGTATATCTAAAATCCATTTATGCTTTAGAAGAAAATGACAGTGGTAAATGAACTTCAATTAAAACTTATCATGGTAGCATTTTATATCCACCACAGAACCAGTACCGATGATAAACAAAAGACTTCTATTTTATAGAGAACACAGAACCA